AAAGCGCTTTGTGTGTTGTTTGTTTTGTCTGGGGAGGGAGACCTTGATGGTTTAGACAGAGCAACCCGGAGGTTGTAAGAGGTCCACTGATAAATGACTGTCAGACATGGCTGAATGAGGCTCTCTACGCACATCTATACACACAACACACACTTTCACACGTCAGGGGGACAGTGCAAGGCTCCAGGACACAGCTGGTCTATGTGCTTCGACACAGTAACACAGGGACTCTGTGTGAACATAGGAGCACAGTCGGAGTGTGGGGGGGAATGAGCGGAGCATGTTGGTTAGAGGCAATAAACCTAACACCCTTCAATCCTGCTTCTAATTTGAAAGGGAAAAATACCCAGGTTGGGGGTAAATGACATTCCTGCAGAATGTGAGGGGTGGGGACCTCGTTTTCCACGGCACTGGCCGTCATGTTGGATTTAGCTGTTATGGTGCCTGATCAGGTGTGTGCCGGCTGATTTACGGCAGTGAAGCAGGCAGGACTAGGACAGACTGTTGGGATTTACAGAGAAATGTAGTAGATTCAGACTTGCAGGCTGCTAGACATCACAGTCTGGGTGGGTCAACACGGGTACCTGTCTGAAAACCTCAAAAGCCTATCTCCACCTCTATCTCATCCCTCTTTCCTGGCCCTTCCTTGTGTTTACCTGGCCGTGTTTAAGACTGCAGGGTGTTCGGGGAGTGGGTCCGGCTTTGTGGCCGTGGGTGAGGGTATTGTGAGGGGTGTGTCCCGGCGTGTCTCCTGGCACGGAAAGCTGCCGAGTGAGGCAGATCGGGTCTGACGTGCCGTGGCACGCCCAGCGTCTGAGGCCCGGAATGTCTCGGAACATTCCGTGGGGAATGAGCGTGCGCATGTGTCCGTGCGCATGTGTGCGTACAAGGCCTTGCTCTGTACATGCCTGAGGACTCAAAAGATACCGGGTATTTTCTTCTGCTGCTGAGATATCCCTTAATAAATTGTGCTGACGTATTCTCGCCGCACTTCTGCGGTGCAACGAACCACAACCGTGCCCGACACGGACGTGACACATGCCTGTTTAATTATTGACGCTCATCAATAGAATCAGAGCACGGTTAAACAGCGGAGCACATTCACTTATAGTAATGAGTTTCTCTAACCCTAACCCTAACCCTAACCCTAGGATGACCAAAGTCCGTCTGGTCATAGGTTTGGTCTGGGTTTGTGGGATTTCACGTTTGGAACGGGGCATACGCAGTCGAGACAACGATGGAGAACCACTTATCTGTAGGTTGAGCAAGGATGGAATCTTCAGTCGATTTGCCTTCACAGCTGTTGCCAGGGAAACGGTAGTCCTGGACACCCACCCATTGTACCCAGTGATTGCCCCGTCTGCGGTCTGCGTGCAGGTGGTCAATTGAGTGTGGGCAGAGGGGTGCATTCGTGACCGCAAAGCTTGCGGCAGACGGGATTGGGCCGCTTGGAGGTCATTATGAAAGTCACACGTGAGGGCAGGTCGCTTATGTGTACTTGTTTGGCATGGGCGTTTTCTTAAATCTGTTAACTATTTAATTGGCTGGCTGGCAAGCAAGGTCTTTGTTTATTTTTCCATTCTTGACATAATTTTTTTTATTTACCTAAGGTTTGCTACTTAATTAATTGGCACGTTGGGAGAGTGAGCACAGTTTGTCGGAGGAAGGACGAAGAGGATCTGAGAAGCATGAGAGCTGGTGATTTTGGGTGCACTGGGTTCTTCCAGGAAATCAATGAATGTCATTAGTGCCACCCGATGGACCCATTTTGCTGTTGTTCCACTAAACCCCCCTGGAGAGATTGTGCAGTTCAGCTTTTCATTTGGGATTTGGAGAAAAAAAAGAAACAGTAACCCCCCCAGATAAGGTTTCTGCCGCTTTATGAAATCTTTGACCTTGTGTGTGAGAGACTGAGCACCTGCTCCATCCAGGGGATCTCGGAGCTGCTTTCGTTTCCGATCGTCTGTCTCCATTTGTTTTCCCTGTCGGGTTGGGCAGGGGGGGGGGTGATGCGGGCCGGGCAGAAAAACAGGCCTCCAGCTAGAACAATGCCGCTCATTTACAGCCCCCCCCCCCCCTCCTCCACCTCAGTAACCCTCAACCCGCCCATACACCTCTGCAGAATGATAATCAGCGCTGATATCAGTCAGACGGGAGTTGTTTGCTTACAATATATACAACACTCTAGTGTGTCGGAAAGTACGCAGTGAGCAGTGGAGTGGGATGAGATCCTAGGGTGAGGTGCAGCGTAGCAAAGAGTCCCTGATGTCTCTCCAGGGCGTCACCAGCAGCGGGGGGGGGGGGTGAATCCTGGGAGAAGGTTGATAAAAACAGAATGAAAGTTTAGCATGAATGACTTCCAGCACGTGAGCCTCTAAACTAATGTTAACAGGAGTAGGATGCCCCCCGTCTGGGTGTCTGGTCTGTCCTTCTCGCCACCCTGCTTCACCTGGTTTGGTTCAGTTCCCTGCTCTCCCAGTGACCTCCCCTCTGGGCAACCTGGGAACCAGTAAGTGATGGAAGCTCGGAGATCCCCGCAGACAGCGGGAGCAGCATGACCCGTGTTTGTCTCTCCCTCTTGCCTCCTCACTCGCCCCACTCGTTCGCTCACACACTCACTCCCTCGCTGACCTGTTTTCACTCACACACTTTTACTTCCAGGGGATTTTCCAGTCTTGCAGAACCTTCTGGTTCCCAGACACGCTCAGCATGTTGGGCTTCCTCAGTGCGGGACGCGCCCTCCATAGCCATCGGTAAATATGTCGCACGCGCGCCAGATTAACCCGTCTGCCTCGGCTTCTCTTCCCGCTGGGATCCACTGGCAATCAGGGTTATTCCAGTATGCCAGTCTGGGACAGGCTGAAGCGCACCCCCCAGATCCTCAGGAACCCGGAATACTTCTGGTGTCATTCCTGGCATCAGCGCTTCACATCATTGCCGCTGCCAAGTACTTAGCATGATGGTCCAGTGGCATCGTTCTGCTACACAAAGCTCTTGCTTCTGGAACGCGTCCCAGGCCCAGACGTGGACCCTTAGCTTAGCTTTTCTTTTCCCACCTCGCCAATGTTTAAATATGCTAATCCGTCATTGAGGTGAAGCAAAGATGGCCGCCATTCGCTAATTAGCTCCGACGTGCCGCTCTGGCCTCATTAACGTGAGCCAGAGCTCATTACAGGAGACGGATATAAACGCTGTAACATCCAAGAAAAAAAAACAACCCATACAACTGATTCAAATTTGGATTTTACTTTCCCTCCCTGTTCCCCGGTGCATTCTGGGTACGCATTACGGGGCCTGCATTGACATCATAATTGACGTTACATTTAGTGAATGTTAATAGCCACAAGGATAATAGAGGTACTAGCTATATTTCAATGTTGTTTACGCTTCACATTTATTTCGCTGCTGAGAACCTCCTGTCCCGAGCGACCTGTGAGAACACGAAGCGGTCGCCGTGGTGATTTATTGGTCGCCTGGGATACAGTTGTTCTTCCTGCCGGCATACCGGGCCTGTTATGACATACACCCACCCCAGCCCATCCCACCCTGGCCTGTGCGTCTTTGGCTAGAGGACTGGGGGCGCAGGCCGGCGCATACAGGCGCGCACACACCCCATCAATAAACAGAGGGGGCCGTTCCAGGATGCTGACGTGAGCGGCGCCGTTGGCTGACCCCTTGTATTTGTCAAACCGAGTTATTTAAATGGAGCGGTAATGATTAACAGGCGTTATCTCCATTCGCCAGTGCAAATGCTCCTTGTTCACCAGGGGAAGAAGAATTTTCTCCCACAGCACCTTACTGTTTGCTGGTACCTTGAGGTACTGAGTCAACTGGAGGGGGTGGGCATGTGTGTGAGCCAGCTGGACTGGCAGCCTCGTCGAGTCCCCCCCCCCAGCCCCCATATCCTGAATGAGGCTGGGGTTGCCGAGCCCCCCCCACCCCACCCCAGCCCCTGTAGCCTGAATGAGGGCGGGGTCTCCTCTCCCTTATAGCCGCTGAGCCCAGCGTTCTGCTCACAGAGTGCGGCTTGGATGATTAATCCTCACTTCCTCGCTGGCGAGACACTTGTAACTTTGAACCGAGCCCGGACGGTAGGGGGGGGGGTCCAAAGGCGCATGCCAGCGTGGTGAGGCGCCCAGGGCTCTGGATGAGCCGCCGCCGCCGACAGGGTAGAGAATCGCATCGTCTTTTTCATTTCTCCTCTGCTGGATCCCAGTGGTTTTTGCCCACTCAGGCCCCCAGATGGGTCTCGGGGGTTGAGTAAAGGTTGGTCTGCCACCACAAACCCCCCCCCCCCCCCCTTGTGTCACCTTTAACACCAGAGGATGGGGGATTTGTTTATCGTGATGCCACAAGAATCAGTGGTATTGCTAAAACATTGTGACAGCACACAAAGGAAAAATGTCCTAATTTGGGAATGAAGTGACCCCCCCTCCTTTTTAAAAAAATAATAGGACTAACACTTCGTGAGGACCAGCTCCGTGTTGAACCAGTGTCACCTGATTTGAGGATTTAAAGATGTCAGATGGACAGGAAGTGGCCCTTTGGTTTTCTCTGCCTCTTCTTATGGGATCAGCGCTTCCCCAGAAACCAGTAGCGTCCCAGTATGTCGCTTTGCTCTGCCGGTTTTTATGTCCCTTACATGCAGGTGCAGTACTGAATAACAGCCATCGGGGGCTTTTCATACATTTTCAGTTTGTGACTGTGAACTGTGTGAATGGAGTTTGGAAGCTCACAGGAAGCCTGGCTCACAGGAGGTGACGGGGGCAGCTCTGTGCATGTCCTGGCCTGAAGTGTGTGTGCATGGCTGTTTGTCGGGGCTTAATGGTCCCAGTGGGCTCCTTGGTAACCCTGAGGTTAGGCTGAGAGTCCAGCTGGAGGGGTCAAAGGGCAATAACACAGGTACTGTTTTTTGTGTGTGTTGTGTTGTCTGATAGCATGCCAGGACACGCAGCCGGCTTTGTGTCGAATCAGTCAGGGGGGGCACGAATCAGATCTGGGTGGGAGGGGCCGCTTTTATTACGGCAGATTAAATGACTGTCAGACATGGCTGAATGAGGCTCTCTACGCACATC